GCTGATTACATGTAGGACATTCTCGGGTCCAAAGGTATTATATTATTAAAGAATATCAATCCTATCTCATGTTTTAATTTGAGTATGTAATAAAATCATGTTTAAAGGCTAACTGACATTGTGTTTATCCGAAATAAAGTAGTTATGAACCGGTTGAGACCGGCGTTCGTCCACACTCCTGATAATAACAATATAAATAGCACGCAAATGAATTGTTTATACAACGACTGTGCATTCTGTATTATTAGGAATATTTTTATCTATTTTATCAACAAGATTAACTAAAAATAGAAATGCTACGATTGCAAATCTGATTGTGGAGGGAAGAGCATAGATAACTTATTTTTAACTACCTTTCTTTTCGTTTCAGTGTACAAACAATGGCGACCTACGTGACCAAAATTTGAACGATAAAACTAATGTTCAATTCTTCAATTATCAGTTAATTCTTAACTGTTGAATAAAATTGATATTTGAGAGGTTTTAGTATGTTCAGTTCAGTTCAGTTCTAATCCTCAGTTAAAATGAATCTGGTGTTGGAAAAATCGGCTCTTAGTTCGCTTTTGTATGAGGAATATCTTGGACTGAACTTTTAAAATGACCATAAACGAAATAGGTACTCCTTATTGAATGAATCAGCGCCACTTGATTAATGAATCAACCGGTGCAGATTTCGAAACATATTTGGGATTATAGACAAGCGACTTTTGGACTTCGAACTGATCGTGGAGTAAAGTACAAAATAATATACCAAAATAACAGATAGCTTCGTAAATCTGAAATCTAAGTAAATAGGAGTTGTTTTATAATCCTTTGCTAATAGTTACTTCATTTTTATAACAGTGGTTCTTGGATAAGTGAATGTAAACGTTTGTTACGTAAGTAGGCATTATGAACTAGGCATGCTTTTAAACATGTGACGAAGCGGGGTGTGACACTGATAATAGAACTATGTATAATGTAACTTGTAAAACATTGTCACGTGGATACAATGGATGCAATTATTTGCAGTCAGTATACGAGGATTCAGGGCTTTAAGGTTCTCATTTTAAATCAGTTTGAAACTTGTATATTACCAGCAAAACCTTGCAATGGACAATTCTTTTCTTTTACGTACATTTGAACTTTCGCAGTTCAATTAGTCAAAGGCTAACACTTTCCTGCAATAAACGGTCAATCTTTTTATCTATAACTCCAGAACTAGTAATCTTGAACTCAATATTGCTAGCAATTTAAATAATTAACAGAACCACTAGAGCCATCTAGTAGCCAACACTGGAACTAACAACGTACGCACAGATAAAGTGGGTATAGATAAAACAAATAATTCGATATAACTGATGCCTCTCAGTATTTACCAGTCACGTGGTGTGTGGTTTCGTTCTTTCTAGAAAATTCGTACATTTTTATAGAATAGGAGGCAAACGAGCAGACGGATCACCTGATGGTAAACGAACATAATCTTATCATATCTTCCAAAATCTTACATAATCCGGTTTCTTAATCCTTAACGAATTAACTTTCATTCGAAATCTGATTAAGGATTAATTGAATCATTAACACAGATTAGTTTTTACGTTCTTTTAATACGGTTGACATGAAAACAAGATTCTTTGGATTAATCAGTTAAAATTCTTCGTAATCAGGTAAAAGTGTGACTGAAAGAGTTAAAGATAGAATTTAAAAGATTTTTCGTTTTCAGTACAAACCCAACAAATTCGAATAATATTATCTGAGTTTTAGATGACGAGTAAGGAAACTACAATAAAAATAAGATTCAGAATCAAAATACAAATATGCAATTTTTTTCAGCCAATGACTGCTCCCGCCTTGTTGAAGCGGGAGGGAGTGTCAGACTCTTACTGACTAAAAACCACCCCGTTCTAGCTCCTGCTTTGAACCGGAGCCCCGGTAACCCATTCGGTTGTCCGTAGGTCCGAAACGACTATTGTTAATTTTCACTGAAACCGATTTGAACAAAAAACAAGACTTGGCATAATTTTTAATAAAACTAAACATATTATTTACAAATCATTATCTTTCCGGGTTATTCAATATTACAGCAGTTTCCACTAGTTATTGTTATTATTGGGTTACTTGATAACATTACTTAAATGTAAAAAGAATACATTTTTTCAAAAACTTTCCGACATTTGATAAAGTTGTTTTGTTAACTAAAAATAACTGTTCACTCACGTAAATATATTGAGAAAAGCTCTACCTACTATGTAGTTTCGATTCACAGAGGAACTCTTCCGCATTGCGCGGTCGCGACGGCCTACTCAATTCTATTATTACAATCGACCAAAAATAAGCTCTTATTGGTATTTATTTGTACAGGCGCCACAAGAGAGAAACAGCAGGATAGGAACAGCATCCTCAAAACCTTAGGTGACCAAAACACTTACTACGAGTATGTTTTACGTTTACCTAGATCGAAATGAAACCGCGTTCGACGCTCTGATAGGTCTGCTCCAATGAACCAACCAATCAGAGGGCTACACGTAGTAATGTATCGATCTTGTTGAATATAAAATAAACTCGTACTAGGCCCTCTGGCTACAATCCCCAAATTGCTTGCCAAGGGTGGGAATAATCTACAGATGGGACCCAATAGGGCTGATGTCGAGTTGCCGGAGGAGTTTCCCCCTCCCTCCCTTCCTCTCGCCTCACCCGGCAGGGGAAAGTCATTGGATGAACTTCTCTCTCAAAAAAAGTTTGGGAATGATGACTACCCCCAGTCTTAAACAAGATATTATCGTAATTGCCGTATACCGATTGATGAATATAATTAGAGTTAATATTATATAACTTGCCATAAGTACCTCCGCTTAGAAACATGAAGCCAATGTCCAGTTCACAAATTGCACCACAATACAATATGAATGTCTGATTAATTATAAAATGATTGTATTTCGGGAGTTATTTCCTTGGTATTAATACAAGCAGTTTGCTGTGACAATATTTGTTCAGGCTGCAGACATGAGTAAGGTTAGTACAGCTGGCCGCGAGCCGGTGCAAGCCGGAGGAATGACGCACGGGGGTCTGAAGACCGATGGGTGGACAGACAGCGATCATAGTACCTATACTTTTTTAATATTTGGTATGTCCTGTATTATGGAACTAGACAGAAACAATGTAATAACACTAAATGATATTGTAGTGTGTGAATTTTGTATTTAAGGAAAATTCGATCTAGGGAACCACTCGAGGTAGGTTTGGTTTTCAGAAATTGTTGTTTTATCCGTGTGTTCATTGGATATAAACCTCATATAATATTATTAGAATACGAAATTCAATTTCACCATAACCAAAAACGTTTAAATAGCTTAGACGAGAAATCGGAAGCCTTCCACGAAGGACATTCGGATTCAACCCTCTCGGCCCGAATATGTCTTTTATTTTTTGTATTTTTTTCTACACAAACGTGTCTAATATTTTTTCATTACCAAGTTGACAGACTAAATAGTGTTTCATTTATGTACCCCCCCCCCCCATCATCACCCTATCTCTTTCACTTCACCTTGCATTATTATGACTTCAAAAAACTCGAATATAAAACACTACTCAATAACAATACCGGTTTTGTATTTCCAAAATAGAATAATCAGTAAACTGCACATTTGTATGCATAGAAACACCACGTGTGTAAGAGTACCTACTCGGTGCATTAAGCTTTATCATTCCATCAGGCAGCATGTGTATCATACTATATTTTTTTCGATTACACAAAAGATACTGCGAAAAAGACAAGTAAAAAAGAAGGTGAATACCCGTATCTGTACAATCTAGACGATGCAACGGTATGCAATAGTTATCAAGTAATTAACGATTTTATTATTTTCCAATATTATAGTATAACCATTATCTGACTATAGTAAGCATATTATCTATAGATAGATAAGTGTGGGAGAGCCCTGCTTCGGCACTACTGGGCCGACTCGACCGGAGTGATACCATGGTCGAGCAGAAAACGGACGTGAAACAACGCTTGCGTAGTGTTTCATCGTGTGATTGAGGTTACCGGAGGCCCGATTACCCCCCTCACCAATCCCCAACAATTCTCAAATTACCAATTCCCAATCCTCGAATTCCTAGTAATCTTCAAAGGCCAGTAATAGACTTGTAACGCCTCTGGTGTTTCGGATATCTATGGGCGACGCCGATTGCTTACCATCAGGTAATCTGTCTGTTCGTTTACCGGCTTATCCCATAAAAAAGATAGATCGACACGTCACCTTGAAGGCACATCTTTTTATATATACCTCAACAAACAAAAATGTCTCGTAATTTTTGAACTTGGAAAGAGGGCCGGCGGATTGCGAAATCGTACGTAGTTATCGCTGTAGGGATGACCGAGTGACGGTGATCTGACCACACAGCAGGAATATAGCAGACAGATCACTTGAAGGTAAGCAATCCACGCCGCCATTGACACCCAGCATAAGTATGTTGTCTGTCATCATCAAGTGGTAACCACCGCTTTCACAAAAAGAATGTCGTGTTAGTTCATCATCATCATGACGTCATCAACAGCCTATAAATGCCCACTGCTGAACAAAGCCTCTTCTCACACGGAGAAGGTTTGAGCATTAATCACCACGCTTGCTCAATGCGGATTGGCGATTACAAACTTATAATTAGAAATTATAAGCCCAGGTTTCCTCACGATGTTTTCCTTCACCGTTTGTCAGTGGCGTCTAAATAATCTTAGAAAGTACATATAACTCGGAAAAAGTCACATTGGTACTTGCCGTTGGTAGGTTTCGAAGCGTTTTAAACCTCCGGGCCACCACAACATATGTGTGTGTTAGTTACACTGTGTATAACTCAAGAGCGGCTAAATCGATTTGGCTGAAAATTGGTGGGGAGCTAGCTTAGAACCAGGAGACGTTACCGAAAATCACGAACGAGAATGGGAAAAAACGGGATTGCGCGTACGCAGTCGCGGGCAGAAGCTAGTAATAAATAAAAAAGCAAGGTAAATAAATAATAGTTACCGATTTATCCTTAGGCTCCTTGGTATGCAGGTTGTATAGCGTGCCCCGTTTGTACTCGTCGCCGCAGACGTAGCACACCTCCGTCATAGAGTTCTTGTCCGGCATTGAAAGGTCCAGAATATCACGATCCGAACTCGAATTCGAGTTGCCTGAGTACACCGACACCGTCGATCTGTAATCAGTGAGGTTGTGTGGTAAATAAAAAAGGGAATTCGGCTTTATTTCTTTAGAGGAGTCTGATGGAGATCATTTGGGTGATCGGTTCAGAAGTTAAAGTATTGTATAATAAGGTAAACATACAAATATAATACTAAAATAACTTTTAAACGTGAGAATAAATTTACAGTTGATTAAAGAACATAGAATGTAATTATATAAGGGCCTTAGTGTTAACCTACAGATTAGAGATTACGAATTCAGGTAACAAAATGATTAGTAGATTAGAACATCGAGAACAAATTGATAGTCTACAAACCTACATACATAAATTAATTGTTTACAAACATAAAAAAGAGACTTTTGCAGCACTAGCGACCTCTAGCAATGCAAAAACACTTGAAAACTTTACCATCGAAAGCCTTTTGCAGCACTAGCGACCTCTAGCGGTGCAAAAACCCTCGAAATGACGTATTTAGTATTTACCTAATGGGTTGTAAATGTAGTGTAGCTGACCTGACGGCGTCGAGGTACCCGGCGGGCTCGGACGCGCCCGAGTGCTGCGAGCCCACCGAGATGACGGACGGGTCGCGCGCGCGCAGGTCCAGCACGCCCTCCTCCTCCGCGCCGCCGCCCGCCGCCCCGCCGCCGCCCGCGGGGTTCGCCGCGCCGCCCCGCTGCTGGAATCAGACAGGGTCGCGGCTCAATTTAACACGTTACCACATATGGGGTCATGAATGGAATACAGCAGTGGAGTCGTCGACAAATGACCCGCAAGTCACCTCGGATGCTTGAAAGTATGTTATTAGGAAAGCCAATTTTTTAAGCACGATCTTTGGGTCTCCCTCTTACTTTTTAATACTTTTTAACCTAAATAAGAAGAAGAAGAAATATCCACGAGTTCTACACTGGGGTTATGAAATATGAAAACAATACCTACATTATTAAACTTATGCACATGATTCTGGTCCTTTTCTTCTTTCCGGAAGGTGTCGTTGGTGGGGTGCGAGGGTGCATCAAGAGGGTAGAGGGGACGCGAGGTGGGGCGCGGGGAGGAGGCGGCCTCCTCGCGCGCGCCCTCGCCTGACAGGCCCAGTACCTGCGCCGCGTACTCGCCTTGGAACGACATGTCAGCTCCTGGAATAGAAGAGAAAATACTATCAGTTAAAATCACGTTAGGAAACGAGGAAGAGATTGCTCTCCAATCTCCAACACTGTGGTCGGACCAAATTGTAAACCTAAAAGCTCTTATGGGCCTCTCGAACAACACCGCAAAGGTATAGCAAAGGCAGAAATTAATGGGAGTATATAGGTACATGCTAAGGACATCAGGAGTCTCTATGAAAAAATGACGAAGAAAAGATAGGTAGTCACAGGTTTGTGGTTTGTTCAGAGTATTATTTTTACAGTATTTCAAATATCAAAGGGAATTGTTACGAATGATCAAACATTTACGGATTAAAATTACGTGGAGATACACGTATACTTCTTCAAACGTGGACCAGGGTCCGCGAGACTACTCCAAATACTTCGAGAGACTACAGTATAATGGTTAACCCTTAATAGAAATAACCCATGAGAAAAAAATGTAGAAAGTAAGTTGCAATAATTTCGTAGAACAACCGCCGTACATTTCTACAAGGCTTTCCGCGTCCAGTATCCTTTGGAATTTCTATACAAAAAAGCAACAACCGGTCTGTTAAACGGTGAGCATTTAAATTATCTCAAATTACAAGCTTGGAGACCACGAACCAATCACTTAAATACCAGTCTTCACACAAAACCAACTGTCAATTACCATTAACCGAGTACAAGTCAATTATGCAGCTATTACGATCCTATACATTATAATGTAGTATGCAACATGTACGTAGGTACGTAGACCCATTCATGGATCGGGTGCGCGCGACCTCGGCGCAGTAGCAGTGAAAGTGCCGCCGTAATCAGCTGACTGACTGAGTCCAATTGCTGCGCGGTGCGTTTTATGTACAGAAGTATCAATAGGGACAGGATTTAGGACATCTAGATTTTTAGAAAACTAAAATAAACTCTTACAAACTACCATCAAGGAAACTCGTGTAAAGACTTTATTCTACATTCGTTAGCTCCAGAAAAATCCTAGCTAAAACATTGCGTAATTTTGCTTGACTTTAGACAAGACAGTTTTCAATAAGTATATAACTTGAAAGGTTTCTCTTGAACCGCGGCGCGGGCTGAATCTAAACGAAACTTATTGTACTTCTGAATATCTTAAGTACGTAATACCTACTGAACTAAACTATAAACCCAGCAGGTTTCTGGTAGCGTACATTACTGGAACACGGCCGTTAAGATAAGGCCACATAGGTCACACAGCCGGGGAAACATTGTTAAGGGCAGCCAATTACAATAATTACGACAATTATTCGCGCGCTAAACGTTTCGGGGAACGAATGAAGGAAAGGGTACAATGTACGGAGTTCTGATGACCTGTTATAGTCAAATATGTCATGCCATGCCACCTCCCGGATATGGAAATAGCGACATACTTTCCTCCCATAAAGGAAAGGTTATTGAGAGATTTATAAGCCAGACACAATGGCAGCAGAATCTTTTAACAATGTCCAAGATGAAAAATGCGCTTTGTGTTTATTTACAGGGAATAAAGAATCGTTTATAACAATATCCATGGCACCATTTATTTAGTCTTTTGCGATGAAAATGGTGTCTCCAGACCGTTCCCATACAATACATTAGGTACAAGTAGAACGTTCGAGGAATAGATACGTATAGTAAGTACTAAAGGCGTTGCGTGGCTAACAATACGAAATATGTCCTATTCAGTACAACCAAACTATTGTAGTTTAAATAAGGCATTGTTCAGTGTTATTCGCATGACTATTACAAATGGTTAAACTAATTTCACTGCTATATTGTTTGACGATGGAAAAATCCACGTGGAAATGTAAAGTACCGATATTCTATTTAATTAGGTTATACGGCTTAGCCTCGTAACGTAGTCGACAGGTTTCAAGTCGCGCCAGGGGCCCTTAATAATGAGCAACACGACAACCGACCTGGCGAGTGTTGCAAAGCCAACAGATAATTTCGTTGAGCAATTAAGTGGCTCAAAATAAGCTGACTGACAAGATCGGCATAGTAAAAAGTTAGGTGCGAATTAAGGACCTTATATGAATTTGCTAAAATATTGATACCTATTCAGCAGTAGTCTCGAAGTGAGACGCAGTTTTCAACACGTAAGCCACAAACGTGACCAATAAATACTCAAAGCCAGAGAATCGTCATTCAACACACTTTCCTCATTTCGCGAACTAACTCATTTGGTGCAATTCCGTTCATTGCACCACTGACATAATTGCAAAGTCTATTTAATTTGACTACACTTTGTATACTTTGTTACTGCGGTATTTATACGTAACTGCATTACCACAATGATTTTGGGTAGGTATTACACAAATTTATGCTAGAACATTCTAACATGCTAGTTGGGTTCCTTTTTACACTATACCTTAATGCTACTGGGTTAAGGTCTCTTCTAAATCTTTTCACACATACTTCTGTCCTATATCTTTTAACACCAACCCTCGCGATCATCATTCATCCTCATAATTTCAATAAAACATCGCACCTATTGAAATAGCTACAAAATAACAGGTTAGGTAACTATAAATAGAAGATAAATTACATAGAAACACGCTAGGATCCCAGCAGAGCATATCTAAATACCAGGTAGATAAGAAGTTTGCCGACACCTCAGCTATTAGTCTCAAAAAGATAATTACGAGTAGGGACGAGCGCGAGCGAAATACTTCGTAAGAAAACTGCAACTTTGTATTTTGGGTTTACTAGTACTGTTTTAGTTCCCGTTTTATTAGTGTCGTGCAGTTGAGCATATGAATGGGTAGTCTTTAGTATCTTTTGTATCGTTAACCTTTCGGAAAGCAAGAGTACCCAACTCTTACCCTCAAAAAGATCTATTGCCAAAACAGTCTCTTGGTAATTGTTCATAACTAGGTTAGGGCCGGAACTGAATCTGTCTATATCTTTGATGGACGTCTGAATCCTGCCCTTCACAACCCACCAGAGCCACCCGGCAATCTTACAAAAAAGACACATGCGACATGGACACGTCACAAAAAAATCAAGGACAAAAAGCTACGAGATCGACCGAATTCGACTTAATAGCATACTTATTCTCAGTTTGGTGAAGTAAACCGTGGCGAAGTATCGCATTAGTCATGTCGTGTGAACAATACAAAGTTCAGTATGCAACGACTAGAACGCTAGAACCGGTCCGAGCCGCTTAGTGGAACTTCACTTTTATTTACAGAGACTAATTCGATGCAATCAGGGCTGCCCCGAGTTGCCGACACCGATGTTCCTCTCTTGTTTTTGTTTGCGCTTACGTCGCGTCGGTGTTACTGTGTGCTTAATGTGTTACACGTTTTGTAGTTCCAAGCTTAGGGTTAGCCATTGTTGGAATTAATGTGGCTGGGACTGGACTTTGTAATCAAATTGCACTTGTTGGACTGCGACTTTAGACATGAATTAATGCTTGTAACTTGTTTGTGAACAGGAACTGGAATTAGGGATATTAATTGTTAGTCTCCAGAAAAAAAAGAATAATTTGTATGTAGACAGTAGACAAATTAGCTCTTTAAATACAGAAGCATATAAGGGAATGTTGAAATAATCCGTTAATCTTAAACAGAATTCATGAGTCCTAGTTTAAAGAAATTGGTGCTAGGGTGGTGCAGTGGCTTTGCGTGGCAACCTTTAATCGCCGAGCGTCGGCCAGTCGTATTTATATAACATCAAAGAGTTGGTACCCTGTCGTCTGGCCGAGCCAGTGATTCATATTTCATCAACGGTTGACATATGACATGCTTGCCACCAATAGTTAGGGCACCGCGCTCCAACGTGGAAATTCCCCCGAGGGAAAATTGTTGATGAAATATTCTACCACAGGTTTTTGTCCACAAGATTTAAAAACCTTATTTTTCAATACAGGTATATAACATTTAGTGAATCGTTTCGCTTAATCATAAAGGTGATGAGTGAAAAGTGAATTTAATGGTAGCTAGACATGACAGTTGACACAAATTCTTATAATTAGTTCAAGTGAAATATAACTGGGACATCAAACTTACGTGATATGAAGCCATCAGTAATGAAATGTAAGATTTGCACTACATATTCTAAATAGACTCGTCTCATAAGCAAGCTATAGAAAGATTACCGAAGAGACTAAGTAATGTATTTTCTATTTATCCGTTTGTAAACAGTATGTTATACAATGTTAAAAGTTAACTGCAGGTCAATTAATAGTGAATGAAACCTCATCGTTTTCATTAACAGCTCTCATTAAACTATAAATGAGCGTGTGACGGCTGCAGAGAGAGTCGTTCACATGTATCTACTATGTAATATTCGCTGTAGATAGATAGATGGTAATGCAGTTAAGATGCATAATGGCATTAGAATTCGATAATGTTACTGATATTATGTTTTTTTTATCTTTACTAATATTATAAATCGGAAAGTGAGTTTGTTTGTTTGTTTGTTCCGCTTTCACGCCGTAACCACTAAACCGATTGCTTTGAATTTTTACAGACGTAAAGTTAGAAGTCCGGATTAAATAATAGGGTACTTTTTATCCCGTAAAAATGTGATATTTCCGAGGGAAAACAAAAGTATTGGTATAGATGGCGCTGTGTGTATTGGTATATGTCACATAGGCTACTTTTTATCCTTTTACGATGCGAGCGAAGCCGCGGGTAAAAGCTAGTATTGGTAAAAGTCCGCCATAATCTCCCAAAACCGCTGCAACTCCTGATAGTCAGGATCTGCAGTAGATACAACCATGAAAACACCGGAACACTGAAGTCTGACGCGTCCCAGGGACATGAATAACTGTCTTGGTTCCCGCAACGAAATAAATCAGAAGGGGGAATAGGGGGAGAAGAAAAAAAAACGATAGTTTCCACTATACTATATGCTATGGATATAGATATGTACTTTGGATTCAGACTACAGCGAATTCGCAACTATAACACTTACATTCGCTTCTTAATAAGACAACTCTGGGGAATTCTTCAAAAATGTGAAAATAACGGGAATTTCAGTGGATATTACAATATTTATTTAATTATAAGACATATAGCAATGTAATACAAATTCTCTTCCTTCGCGTCCAAATTTTTCTACCCGCGCTTTTTGACAGCACACAGATAGCTCTTATATTATAGACTATATAAAACTCTACGAACCATGGACTACATAACACTCTATGCGACATAGACTACGATAACTCTACTAAAGAGAATGGTCGTAACATTAATAATCCCGAAGGTGTGTATATCCTTGGCCTTATAGTCCCAAAACTCCCAAAGCACAGGTTAGATCACACATACCAATAAAATTCTTAATCCGATTTCACTACGAAGGAGTCTTAGAACATTACCAAAAACTGATTTACTTAAATACAAAATAATGCTTTTATGGAGAATTTTGAACTAAAAAACCCAAAATGCAACCCTGACTTAAGGATCGAAAAAAATAAACCACTCTTTGAACATCAATACTATAGATATGGCTAACTGTCTCGTTGGTGGAGTGGTCGCAAGGGCCGGGGTCTCGGCTCCGAGTCGGGCAAAGGAAAATCTCAGTAGTAGCACGGAGTTTGGAAATGTGCCCGGTATATGGCAGTAGGCTCACTGCCTATTACATGGGAGTCAAAACAAAAATAGTGAAAAGTGGGTGTTACATTGTACAGTGGCATTAACTGCCGTAATGTACACCTCTGTCTACCCCTTCGGGAATAAAAGGCATGATGTTACTATAGATATTTCAGGAACACGCCCTATATAATACCTATACTATTTACCATAACAACACATAACCACGCTATATCACTGCTGGTACCGTATCATTACAGACGGACCGTCCTGTTTACTCTACACGACATCAAAGAGCTTATTGCTATCGGGGGCTACGTCCTATGAGGGACGGTAGGAACGGTGATATTTGAAAACTATTTCCCTGTCTGGTTCCTGTAGATGTTTGGTCATTTCAATTAGACCGCTTTCGACATCTCCAAAGGCGTAGGCAAAGGTGTACATTATTATCAATGTAACTTCCACTTTTCACTAGTGACGAATCCAGTTGGGTACTTGCCAACTAGTCAAATTCAATACTTTTATCGAACTATCAAAAACGACAGTTTTCTATGAATTTTGTACGAGATTGTGTATTGTGACATCACGTTTTTGAGGGTCAAACAACATATTTAATTCTTAAAAATTTGCTGGAAACATACTAAATCTAAGTTGCTCATAAAATCAATTAATAAAAGATATGATTGGTTTTTAATATTTATTGTATTGACCAGTCGAAATTGTTTATTTTTGATTAAGTAAAGTACCCAATTTAACCCGTCGTCTGTCTAAACGTGGATCCACGCGAGACACAATTTATTTTATATTGTGTCTCATATCGGTGCATTGAAGCGGTTAATAGAGGTAAAGACTATTGCGGACAATTCCAGAGCACGCACTGCCCCCGAAAACCCTGGCCACAAAGAAGGCAGTCAAACAAAAACTACAAAAGCTGTCTGGATGCTATTTGTTAGCGTTCCTATAAAAACAGACACTAACATATCTACTGTCGCACGTATACAGAAAACTTCTCCAGTGACTATTAATTATTTATCAACCGATATGACTAACTTCATCTTATACTATTATATAAAGCGAAATCTCCGTAACTACAAGTCTGATTTGAATAATTCTTTTTGTGTTGGATAGCGCATTTATCGAAGATGACTGTAGGCTATAAAACATTACGCTACGACCAATAGAAGCTGAGCAGAGCGTGTGAAAGTAGTAGGAAGTAGCTAGTCTACAATATTTATCTGACTTTTTACTGTGACGAAATACTGCAACAAAACAACTAAACAGTCGTTGTTTTTCTGCATTACATATGCCAATCTTTTGTTTTTATGTTTCTACGGAAGGAAAATGCATTATTGAGTAAATAACTATAATTTGCTGTGTAGTGCAATTATAAACAGTTTTGAAACGTAACGAAAAGGATTGAATTGAAATAATATAACTGCTATAAACAACACTATGTCCCGCAGTTCCTTTTGTAAATAATTTTGTCATACAATTGCATGAAAATGTATACAATATCTCTATTATCAACCAGTTTTGTTATAACATATAGCATACAGATGTATCATTGCTGTCTCCCATTTCCAAATAAACAAAGATACTAATATCTACATATAGTTCAAAGCGTATTATGACTTAATAGAAATATATCTAATTCTAATCTAACATATAGTATACGAGACGGGCACTGTACGGGTAAACCCCTGTGGGATTGTTTACTTTTTGAAACCACGAAATAAATTCATTTCGAAATAAATATAACCTTAGTAATAAATCGATTCTGAATACATTTAGTACAGGCGTAAAATATACCTTGGCAGACTAATGCAAAAACTCAATTTCTACCAGATTATTTTACGCGGACGAAGTCGCGGGTAATAGCTAGTATATCAATACATAGTATAAAATAAAGTCGCTTTCGCTGTATGTCCGTATGTATGCTTAGATCTTTAAAACTACGCAACGGATTTTGATGCGGTTTTTTTTAATAGATAGAGTGATTCTTAAGGAAGGTTTGTATGTATAATACATGCATATTGCACCCGTGCGAAGCCGGGGCGGGTCGCTAGTATAGTATATATTAACACCATCTGATATAATATAGCAGTTGTAGCAACACCCTAACTGACTTCGATAGACTTCGACAACCACTTCAGTTACCACAAAAGAAATAAATTCGAAAAAATCAATTGTAGAGGTAGTTTCAATTCAGGGTAGGTTGTCGTGCTGCCTGAATGATCACGTGTAGTGCGAGGTGACCGTACCTCGTAAGCAGTAAGTTGGCAGCGCTGGTGACACGTAACTAAACAATCCATTGTTATTGGTGTGCCGACCACAATGGTGTTCCACGAAATGTTAAGTAAACATGGGTTATGTGGCTCTCCTATCAGGAGACCACGAATTTCTTTTTGTGTCAGTCAAGTTTCTTTTTTGACGATATTCAAGAAGTGTTGGCTAAATACATTGTCGAGCTAGACGGAACAAACGCATAAATATTAGAGTTTTCATACATTATTCCCAACCCTCTCGTACCTTTGAAATAAAAATTCTCTCTTCATTTTAAAAACATAATGTAAATAAAATTCACAACCCAAAAAGGACCAACTACAACCTCTGTATATATGGCGTGTCCTAAAAGAGGACAAAAAAATAGGACACTTTCCGTGCGTCTATCATGGCGTGGCTCAGCCGAGACAAAAGAGTGCCGTGGGAGGGCTCAGCCTCCCGGATAATCCGCCAGGGGGCGCTTTGTACGACACGACCCGTTTTGACAGTTGAAATAATGTTTGATAACAATTTTTAAGGACATTTTTCGCGGAATGTTATTTTTTGCTTGAAAAAATGTTGGATGTTACATTTTTATCTCAGCTCGTGGATCAGCTTTGTAAGAGAAGCCGCATCTATTTAAATTAATCAACCTTTTAAGAATATTCTTTTGGTAATTTATGAAGATATATTTTTTTGTTTTCCTTTCTTTTTTTTTGTTTAATTTTCTTTTATCTTTCGCTAGATATTACAACGAGGATGATTACAGTAGACATAGCAACGGTGATAATCACACAACATTTTTCGAGATAACAATGGACATCGATATTTTTAACTACTGGCCATAAATGTCAAAACTACTATATGTCAAGCGGCAGCGTTCCACAGCACCCGATACGGAAACAAAGCGAAATGAAAAAAAATATCTACGAAACAAAAAAAGACAACGTAAAAGTAGTTGTTCCATGTCCACAACATGATTCTCGTCTCACGGCCACGACGGCCATTCGAAGTAAATCGGAATGCAACGTTGTTGTACAATCGTAGTGACGCCGACTGATCCGATGCGTTTAATAGTCCAAGTAGATGCATACGTTGGGAAGACAGTACGTTGCAAGTAATTTATTGCAGCGGGAGATTTAAGGACGTGCCTGTCGTGTTCCAGGTACCTATACAGTCTCCTTAATAGGTAGACGTCTAGTCTCCTATGATACCTATATGCATGATTGAATAACCCAGTGCATTTACTTAGACTAACTAATTTGGATATGTTTATGAGCGGAGTTGGACCACCTTTGACTATTAATTTTGTTGAAGGCAAAGGGCTAGCAAAACTAGACAGCAACTTTTACAAAGCCTCCGGATAGGCTAAGTTGTAATACAAGCAAATTCATTATGGCGTAGTCTTATCTATATACGACCACACATAGTTCAATAACTGTGCTAACTAGTCACCACTGCAGACTTTGTACTGAAGATTAAGAATACCAAACAAATTCCAAAGGATCACTGTCTATTTCGCATCTTTACCGAAGAACACACACACTTAGTACTTAAGACTACATTTCTTTGCATACATGTGTTCTGGAGCATACAAATACTGCACTGACCTATAAACGGTTTCCCGTCGAGCCTCTTCATCCAGTAGAACCGCTGGCTGTGTGGCTTGTTCTCGCGGTCGTACTGCTCCCACTGCTGGCGGAGGAAGGTGTAGCAGACGCAGCAGCATTTCACCGTACCTTCCTCGTCGTTCTCGGCGCGATACCCGGCTGGCGGCGCGTGAGCGCCCAGAAACGGGAAGTAAGGTTCCGTGCACTGTGTAAAGGAGATACTGTTAATACCGCGCTAGACGAAAGCAAATACAAAATCTTAAACTCATAGTCATACAGTACAGATTGATCCCTGGATGTTTTCGAATTCATAATGGATTGATGTATTTTGAATTGGATCGCTTTCAACATTTGATCGAAACGTGTATAATATGCTAGACCTCTAGTCAGTCATAAGTTGTAATTGTGAAAAGTCTTAATGTATTTGTATCTCTTGCCTTCCTCTACAACCTGCTGAATGTGATACCACATATTTGGTTGGTTCAACTAAGTATACGGAACATACAAATACTATCAAAAGAAGACTCTCAACCAAAAGGTTTACTTACAAACCCAAACACGTAGGTAAACAGATATTGATGAAAACCTTTGTAAAATCCTACAAAATAGTACGTCAATCGAGCGATTATTGAGCACAATACATACATAGGTACATACATAGTACACACGTCAGTTATATGTTGAAGAAAACAATACACCACGTTCCGGTGAATTATAACTATTATCTGTTCACTTACCGATTGCATACGCGTTAGGATACGTGTACAATAGAAACACGAGGTTGGAGTAAATAAATAATATTACATACATACATAACTAGTGTCGAATCGATAATATCGTCTTATGAAATCCAAGAAACATTTCAAAAAAAGAGGTGATTTGGAAGACTAAACTGACTTTGCAGATATCCATCATAGAAACAGTACAAAAATAATTGTAGATGGACCATTTTCTGTTAAATACTTTTCCACAACCAGAGTTATAACAAAAATAAACCCATTCCAACAATACCACCACATTTCATCTCAACAGCTTCCGTAAACGAGAAACAAAACTTGAGTTTGACGGCTACAAATAACTGCGGAGCCGCTAAAATAACGTTTAACAAAATTGTTGCAACATTTGGGCGTCATGTCGTTGCGCAACATTGTCGCCGAGTGGAAACACACCTTTACAAGTTTACACCAACCGTTGTGGGAACGTTTTATGGGAAAACATAGTGAGATATTGCTACGGCTTTACTTCGTTGATGCGTCTATTATCTCATGGGAACATCGCATAATAGTGTTTACAGAACTATCAGACCTATGCTGTATCGAGGCAGACTATTAATAGTATTAGTAAAACCTAGATTAATGTGTAAAAAACTGTATGCACGTCTTTAATAGAGATTATTGTTTTGTCTTCCTGTTGTGACTATAGTTTTCATAATGGGAACGTGTTAATAAAACATCACTCGCTTTGTCACCTGACGTCGGTCGTAGGCACAATTTTCTATAATAAGGACAATCCTATTGTGTTATTATTATTCAGGTGAATATAAAAACTGCGCTACCACTGGTCGAACTGTTCCGTATGTCGCATCTAACCAATCAGTGACAGTCAAATGTTTCATTTAGAATTACTATGAATATAACGAGTTTAACCATGTGTCCCAAATCTTTTTAGGTTTACATACGTGTAACAATGTAATCCTATTTGTCTGTGTTTCATGAGTTACGGTAACGGACTAATCTTAGGATTTCAAGGAACATTGGAAAACTAAAAACATCTTCGTATCAAGTCCTATTTACATATTGTTTAGTTACTATTTACATATTAGTTTTAAGTAATATTATAGCTTTAAATACGTAAAAATATGTTAAATTACGTGTAAAAGTACTATAGATAGTGTTTTCCTAGTAATATTGATAAAACTACATCCACAAAATTGAAAGTTCCTGCGAGCTGTCAACGGTCAACGGACGAAGCAAAAATTAAATTTAAATCTTTAAACCAGCCAGGGGAGTATAAGTAATAATTCTTGTTATATATCCTTATACACCAATAAAAACACCGTAATCATAAAGATCTGTGCTCAGTTTGCGTGACAATTTGTCGAACGCGACGACAACAACTTCTACCACAAACAAAGAAATTTTACAAAAACCTTTACTAAGTTTGTTACTTTAAAATAAGATAAACTAACTAATAGTGTAAACTATGTCAATAAGCCTAATTTAATGACGATTTTAAGCCTAAGTAACTAAAATTTAAATTATTGTAGTTCCTTTGTTTGCACCTACCTCCTACCTACATTATTAATAAATTATTAAATTCATCATCATACATACTTAATAATTTAAATTTAAACTATCATTTTCCCTTTTGTTTTCTTATACATTATTACACCAATTTCCCTCACTTCAAATCATCTTCCCTGTCTTTTTGCTGTTCTTTTTTTTTCTTCTATTTCAGAGTATTTCATCCCTGTCAGTATGATGACGAGATCCAAGGAAATGGAATGCAAACTAAGAGCAGCGCTGAAGGAGCTGGAGTCATCAAAGCACCTGTGCAACCAACTACTGCAGGAACGGGACGATAGTGAAGTGGAAGTGACAAACATTATAAACAAAAACAGTAAACTTAAAAATGAATTAGCTGAACTACATATGTGTCACACAGATCTACTACAACAACATAGTCAATTAATTAATCAAGTTGCTACCTTCCAGCAGTGTAGCGACACTCATGAACATGCTCTAGCACAAATAACACAACTAGAGCATAAGCTGAGAGAGGCCCACAGTACTATACGTAGACTAGAGGCTGCGAAACAATCTGTTCAATTAGTGAACACTCGGAGTCTATACGATGAGTTGGTTGGGAGTGGATCTGGTGACGTGTGTGAGCCAGCCGTTACAATAGACTTGACTGGTGATGATACCATCACAGCATGTCCCTTATTAAGTAGTCATAACAAAATTAAAAAATACATTAAGTTAAATAAAACAATTAAGAAAATTAAAAAGAGGCAAAATCTTTCAAAATTAAATTTAAAGTTAAGAAAAGAAAAAGTTAATTTAATTAGTGAATTAAATTCTTGCTCTAGTGAATTAGAACAAAGTAGGGCCATTTATGAATTGGACACTCGAGCTCTGCGAAAAGAGCTCTTGGAAAGAGAAATGTTTTTAAATCAGATATTCCAAAAATATGAATCCGCTCAATCTGAAATTAATAAACACATGATTGAGGCGGGTAAGCTAGTAGACCTAGTTACCTATAGTGCTGAGAGATACGAGTCTCTAGCAAATAACCTTGCTTGTAGCTGTACCCACACCATGCCTCCGGAGCCGGAGCATAATATATCTATACCACCAAATGTAAACAACAATGCTAGTGTGTTCACTGACTCAATAGGAGCAGGTATTGGGTCACTTATCTCAAATTGCCTCAACTATAGTGTTACTAATAACTGTTTTCATAATATAAAATTTGGCCCGATGATACAAAAAATACAAAAACAATGTATCACAGCAAACCAGCCAGTAGTATTATTGATGGGAGATAGTACTAGAGTAAAAAAGCGTGATATAGTGGATGGTATCAGCACCTTATTAAAATTGGATATCAGGGTGATATTATGTGCTTTCCCATATTCTGACACTTTGTCAGAATCACAAAATAAACATATTCACTATCTGAATAATTTAATATTTATGCTGACATGTTGTCATAAAGACAAATTAATATTTTTTGACACTAACAAATTTGTTAGTGGTTTTAAATTGACCAAGGAATACATGTTTATTCCTAAGAAATGTAAAGTTTTACTTGCTAGTTTGCTAGCAAATAGTATTAATTTAGTTTTAAGTAGTTTAAGTGACAAATCTATATTATCTAGACAATCTAATAATATAGAGATTAATTGTATAAATGATTTTACAAAGGAGACTCATAATTCGACTATAAATGTGGGTAGTACTCCGGCTAACTTTTTAAACTAATGTCTGAGACAACAGAAGATAACCAAGCAAATTACACAAAAGTTTCATGCATTGATAAGTTATCTTCTGGCGGTATATTTAAGTCTGCAGCTTTATTAGCTATACATAAGAATAGACAAGACTCTGTGTTAACATTGTTTAGTCAAAACATGCAGGGCTTCTCATCTAAAGTTCTAGAAATTGAATTATTTTTAGAAAAATTTAAATATGATCTTGTTTGTGTAACTGAACATTGGCTGAAGGACTATCAAGTAAAATCCATTAATCTTGAAAACTATTGTGTTGGTAATTATTATAGCCGTCAAACCATGATACATGGTGGCAGTCTGATTTTGGTAAAGAATTCAATGAAATATAAGGAAAGGCATGACATTGCATCACTATCGATAGAGCACACAATAGAGTTGTCCTGTGTTGAGCTGGATAGGCATATTGTAGTATGTGTTTATAGACCTCCTATTATACAAAACCTAAATATTTTTAGCTCAGTGTTGGAGGATGTACTGCGGAAAACGTGTTCCAATAGTAAGTTAACCATAGTATGTGGCGATTTTAATGTTGATCTCTTGGAGAATAACTCGAATAGTATTAATTTGTTAAGTCTATTTAAATCTTTCGACTTGTCTAATGTTTTCTTTGAGCCCACCCGAGTAACATCCACCTCGGCAACATGTATAGATAATATTTTTTGTAACTGTAATTATATAAATAAAGACATTGTAAACAGATTACCATCTGATCACAGTGGCCTGACAGTCAGTTTTAACACTACAACAACTGTACAAAAAAGAAAAATTCTATTTAGGCAAATTACAAATAAAAAAATTGAGTCATTAAACCACAACTTGAAAAATGAATTATGCGGCCAAATACATGCTAGTGAATACTCTAGTGAGATTTATGCCAATTTATTGTCCATTGTTAAAACACAATTCGATAAAATGTTCCCTTTAAAACGTAAAAACATTCAATGTAAATTTCTATTCTGTGACTGGGCTACACCGGGTATTCGTAAAAGTAGGGAAAAGTTATTTGAGTTATATGGTATGAAACAATTTAATAATAGTGATGATTTTCGCAGTAATGTATCTAGATACTCGAAAATATTTAAAATGGTTTGTAAGCAGGCTAAATCCCTGTACATTAGCAGTAAAATTAGGACCGCGAATAACAAAATAAAAACCACCTGGAACATAATTAACACCGAGACAGGTAGAAATAGATCTCCTAACACTGAATTTAATTTAAATACTGTAAATGGACGTATTAGTGCAGATTCGAAAGTTGCCCAGGAATTCGAGGATTTCTTTAAAAATATTCCGCTTAAAACTACGGAAGCGTTGAAATCATCACCAGCACTATCTATCGATCTTCTTAAAAGTAATGTCGAGGAATGTTCAACAAATTTTCGATTTCAATATACAAACCCGCTAGCAGTGATAAAAGCGTTTAAAGATATTAAAGTTAAGTCGACTGAAGATCTTTGGGGAATGTCAGTAAGGATGTGTAGGTCTTTTATAGACACTATAGCGCCTCATTTGGCATTAATTTTTAATAAAAGTGTAGATCAAGGGATTTTTCCAGATTTAATGAAACATAGTAAAGTAGTGCCATTGTTTAAATCCGGTGATAGTGCGGAACCTAATAACTACAGGCCGGTCTCTATCTTGCCAGTGCTCAGTAAAGTGTTTGAAAGATTGATGCTTACTCAGATGCTGCGTCACTTTAACATGAATACTATATTTCATGACCAACAATACGGGTTCACAAAGGGACGCTGCACGACTGATGCCGGGGTAGCACTAATTAAGCGGGTTTTTGCCTCGTGGGAAGAGGCACGGGATGCCATCGGAATATTTTGCGATCTTTCGAAGGCATTCGACTGTGTTGAACACGAGACACTATTGCTGAAGCTGGAACACTACGGCATTCGGGGTGTATCGCTGAATCTGTTAAAGTCATACCTTCAGGATAGGCAACTTAAAGTACAGGTAAACAAAGTAAACTCACAGGGTGCTAGCATGTCTATGGGCGTACCGCAGGGCTCAATACTAGGTCCATTCCTATTTTTAACATATATAAATGATTTGCCATATTTATTTCAAAATGAACCACATATTGTATTGTTTGCTGATGACACATCATTGGTTTTTAAAATAAATAGACGAACAAATAATTATGACGACGTAAATAATGCTCTGATGAAGGTTCAACATTGGTTTACAATAAATAACTTAGTGCTAAACGATAAGAAAACGAAATGTATTAGATTTGTTCTGCCAAATGTTGGAAGTAAGGAATGTGACATATTATTAAACAGTCGGAAATTAGAATTTGTAAAAGAGACTACATTTCTGGGAATTACTGTAGATGACAAATTGCAATGGGGTCCTCATATTACATCTCTAGCGGGACGATTAAGCTCTGCAGCTTATGCTGTCTGGAAGATCCGACAGTTAACCGACATAGACACGGCAAGACTAGTGTACTTCAGTTACTTCCATAGCATCATGTCGTATGGCATTTTGCTGTGGGGACACGCTGCGGACACTGAGTCTATCTTTATCTTACAAAAGCGCGCCGTCAGAGCTATCTACAACCTGGGTCGTCGCGAATCTCTCAGAGAAAAGTTTAAGGAGATCAACATTATGACCGTTCCATGTCAATTTATTTATGAAAACATTATGTATGTTAGGAAGAACCTACAGTTGTTTGGTAAAGTGTCTGACAGACACCACTATCAAACTAGACATAGGGATAGACTAAGTCAGCCACTATTTAGATTGACAAAAGTACAAAAGTCCTTTATGGGATTCTGTGTTAAATGCTATAATAAAATTCCGGAGGAAATACAACATTTAAATGAGTCAAAATTTAAATTATATGTTAAAAAAACGTTATGCGGAAAAGCATACTACAAACTTAATGATTACATAGAGGATAAAAATGCTTGGAGGCATGCTGGTCCGGCTCCACAGGATAGCGAAAAACATTGATGTTCCAATGAGTTCCAATCATGTCAAATACAGCCATTTTGTTCAAATGTACACACTGTAAAACTTTATATAGGTAACTATTGTAAATGTGAGAGCCCTGTAACTACCTAAATTAAATTAGACTAGTAGAATGCATGTGTGTCAGCCTGGAGTTGTCATGCTCACTCAAAAGTCTCATTGGCAGTGGCACGGGCAGTGGATCGCTCGATTCCCTATAACATGGTCGAGTTGGGCGGTGCTGGTGTACGTGTCATGTTCGTGAACGGGCGCTGTCAAATGGGACTGGTCAGCTCCAGACTGTATTAAATTTGTTGTCCTCAAGGTTATTTTCTTTTTCCGTCTCCTTGACCAAATATTGGTATTACATTGTTCTCACATTATTGAACTCAACGGAAGAATGTAACCAAAAATTGTATTGTGAACATGATTGAAAAAGAGTAACCTATGGAGTTTCTTGCTCGTTCTTCTCCATAGGAATCTACACTTTGGAACGAGCAAATAGCTTCACTAGAGGACTGACTTACAGACTGACACATTTTTCTTTTCTTATTATTTAGTATTTAAATATTTTGTTTTGACGTTCAAAAGTGCCTTACTGGTCTAATTGAAATAAATGATTTTGACTTTGACTTTTTTGACTTATATTATTAGCGTGATGCGAAAAGATAAAAACATGGAATACAAAAGGGTCACACAACATTGATAATAAATAACTTGTTTGCTGTGTCAAGATTTAGGTCATATTCTGTCGTAAGATAAACAAATAAAAAACATAATGACACCATTTCAAATATATGTAACATAATTGCTAGGTCGTTTTATGATTCACGTATTTGGTCCTTGAGTCGCAAGGTGATGTTAAGTGACTAAAACCCTAAGAACTGTTGATGGTAAATCCTCCGCTAACGTCGGTCACCGGTGACCCCCATGGCGTTTAATATGTTAAAAAGCAGTCTTCAGAACAATTTACATATTCTTTGTCAAAGTCAAAGTCAAAATCATTTATTTCAATTAGACCAGAGAGGCACTTTTTAACGTCAATAAAAAAAATTAAAGTGAAGCTATTTGCTCATTCCAAGGTGTAGATTCCTATGGAGAAGAACGAGCAAGAAATTCCATAGGTTACTCTTAGCATCACCCTATAGGTAGCACGGAGTTAATTCAAATCAATTCCCTGTACATACATTTGCGCTACAACACATTACAACTTAAAGACCATTCACGTACGGCCAATAATGGCGCACCCGCGCACCCGTGCACTGGACATAATTACGTGTCAAATGTCAATCGCTTTAGGCGCTCCATCAATTGCAATCCGGTTGGAACCGGTACACAGCCCGAACACATGACTACGCGTAATAACACGCGAATTGGGTGACAATGTCGTTTCGAACGTCAAGACATCGTTTCGAAATGATGGATGTCTCATCATTTGTTGTGGCACGAACGGGGATTGTGTACTGAGGGGAAAATGTTGGATTTATTTTGTGTAGAAATATACTTCCCTGCATAAATTTCAATGTTACATAGGTCATTGCTTTCTGAAATGTGTTTGGAATGTGGAACCTTATATTCCAGATGTGGAAATTTGAAACCACCAAAAATTGATTTTGTTTTCATAACAGAGATACACGAATTAGAGTGGTGTGATCTGATGACATCTATGTGTATACTGTACAGATATCAGATCACCCATGAACTCTGACGAATTGTCTTCAATAGATTTTCGTTTTCTTTCAGCCTATTCAAGAAATAGAATAGGTTATCTTGATGGAATCAATACATTAAGCTCTAAGTCTCGTTGTCATCTGCGTTGGTTTAATGTTACCTGCGTATCAGGCTTGACTCTGACGGTGTAGTATTCGCTGAACCCGGCGCCGCCGCATACGAAGCACACGCGCGTGTCCTCCTGCTGCGCGGGCGCCGCTTTGTCGCGCGACGCACACGGCGACGCCGGCTTTGACGCCAGCGAACTCTTTATGTAAGCCTTCGCCTTCTCCATACCCGTCCGCTGGTGACAAAAAGAAGATTCGCTTAGTCTATTGCCTTGATCTACGAAAATAGTCCTAAAGAATACATGTTTAACTCGTCGAGGTGTTTGGTATTTGACAGTTTAAACTGTCAAACACCAAACGGTCACCGGTGACCGCAACCTATTGTTCTATAATTGTGTCTATAATGACGGTACTCGACGAGTTAAAGACAGTTTTTTTAATAATAAAACAATAAAAGTTATAATAATAACTAATATTATTAAAGGTTTATCGATACCCTTTTTTATTGAAATGAGACAGTATTTTTTACTTGAAGAAATCGTTCCAGAAAAAATGAGTATGTATTCTGATTACGAACCGGTAATCGCACTTAAACTTAAGTGACTGCATCACATATACTCCTTGGTTGAAGTCATGCACGCAACCTGTATTCCAACGAGGCAGTGAACATCACACAAGCGCAATCGTTAATTGAAGTAGATTTATTAACGAGGCACAATTCCCCGATTCCTTCCACAACGCTTCCAATCACTCGAAGGTAAACGAATATTAATTAGTTACAAGAACCACTTCATTTTCATTAATTCCGTGTTCCATTCGACAATTTCAAGAAAACCATAAATAGCCTTCCAGTTCTCGTCGATCAGTGATTCAAGACATCTATGGGTCGTGAAAATCTAATCGGAAAGTGAACCACTGGCGGTCTGCCAACGTTTACGTGCACTATTAAGGTAACACTCATGAATATCAAACAGGACAGTTTTGTAAATAAAACTCTTTGCTTAGTTGGCAAATGATATGGAAATTGGGAGAAAAAATAAAACTGTTTTTTCTGTGAACTGCTTAACTTAGGCGATTAGAAATTTCAGTAAACATATTGTTTTCTTACAGATTAAGGAATAAGATTTCTCGAATGTTTGTACCATTATTAGATTTCAATCTTGAACGTGAATTAATACGTTGGACCAACATAGAAACGTCATTAATGTTCTCAGTTGATAGAAAATAGCGGCGTTTTCAGGGCATTAACAATCGATATCAGGACAATCGGTCGGTTATTGTTTTTAACATATCGATGATAACACACCCAGTACAAGATATCAACAAAATAAACGTCTCGGTAAGTGACGTCAGTTGGAAGTGTGATAACAAATCCCAACGTCGACGTGTAGATGATTTGATATAACGATATACTAAAATGCTCTGTAATACGACAGGTATAACTCAAAAAAGCAATGACGTCATGAGATTTAGAAGATACTCTCCTATACTTTAAATCTAGCGGGTTACCGGGACTCCAGCTTGAATTAGAGTAGGTTTTTAATCAGTATGAGTCTGACTAATTTTGCCTATTGATCTCTGTCTTGACATATTATTAAGTTCTAGAAGAATCAGAATAATCCTACACAAGTGGTGTGGAAACGTTGCCAGTAAAGCACTTTATAAAATATAAACTTATAAGAGTCATAAGACAGTCCATTTTAATTCAACAATTGCAATTTTTACACCACTCACGTCTTCAAAGAACGTGCCTTCAGGTAATTCCGCTTGGAATTCTGCCCATTAATGAAGGATGACCTACAAATAACTTAGAAAAAGGGAAGCCAGTGAAACTACGGACCGCGAATGATAATTGTGAAATTAATTAAAACTTCTAATGCATGAGTGTAATTAATTATATTGATGATAGAACTTTGCCATGTAGTTTCTCTTGCGATTTTTACTCCTGAATGTTTAGTAGCGTATCGTTAGCCCGAAACTAGATATAGAAAGAAAAAAAGAAAGAAGTTATTTTGTAGTTGCTAAATAAATGTGACGTAATGAGAAATAACTTTCGTAACTATATGATATTTAGCAACATCATTTTGGAATTAGTATTCGACTTTGTCTCATTAAATAAGAGCTTCACCGAAATTTACTTATTTTATAATTACCTACATTAAGGAAATCTTTGAAATTTCAAGTGCTTTACTACCGACTGTGATTCTTCCATTAAAATTTTTGTATTTTCTTTCCTATTTAATTTGAATGTGTTTGTTTCAATGACGATTAAAATTAAAAGCATCAACGTGTCCCCAATGTCATTTAGCGTGATTACAGGACACCCTTCCACGAGACTTGCTACGAAATTATAGGCCACGACCCTTTTCCCGTCTAAATCGGTAGCCACCACGATAATCACTGTGCCATTAATGAATATTTTATTACATTTTTGGGACTAAGCGATCGTGTCGTGTGATTGTACAATGAGCCGTTCTACTGTTATATCGTCTACTAACACATTATCAAGAACGGATCATGATATTGTATGGATGTGTTCTAGAGATTTTTTAAAGGGGGAAAATCATCGCATGCCTTCTCCCGCCTGGGTGAGGCGGGAGGGAGTGTCAGACTCTTCTAACTAAAAACAACCTCGTTCCTACTCCTGTACTTCGAGTCGGAGCCCTGGCAACTCGTAAGACCTCCACGGCTCCATATCGGCAGTCCTATTGGGTCCCATCCGTGGTGGTTTAATGTGTGTGAAGTGCTCTTGAGATAGAAATGATATTTTGAAAACCTTTTAACATCAATTCAGTTCGCATGAAGTTGATAACTTTCAAGCTATTCTATCAAACAATACCTACACTATAGGACTGAAGGTCTAAGATTAGATATTCAGGCAATAAGGATATCTAATCACCGACCCTAGCCGGGCCCACTAGGCGTGTTCCGATACCGATTGCCAAAAAACGATGAGCTCGCATGACTACGTTGATACTTCAAAGATAAAACACGATCCTATAATTTATAGAAACTATTTGATTTTGTCTATAATGTGTCGTGAAGAAGGAACCTTCATAATAAAAGTTTAACTTCATCCGAGTCGTCCATCGATCGACTGTATGACGTCGACACTTTGGTAGGAAAGTGCGAAAACAGGATGACATACCCAGTTTATTGTGAACCGTACAATGAACTGTAGCAGTCCCAATTCTTATATTGTCATAGAAATAATACGGTATTTGTTTGACATGCGGAGGTGTCACATTGATACGCTTACACAGGAATAATTCTATGGGACGTACAGAAAAATATAACAATATAACATTAAATGTATTATTAATAAATATAAGAAACAGAATCTCCTCTATCGTGAAGTCGGGCAATAATATCTCATTCGGTTTCTGTGATTCACCTATTGGTTTGAAGTTTATCTGTCTTGACATATTATTTATTATTGTATTGTGTCTTCACAAGTAATATTGACTACTTTATTATTTGGAATATTGTATATGAAAAGATATATATATAAAGTGTCTTATATAGCCGTCGGTTTAGATTATCTGCAAGGCTAACCCGGAGTACTGATTACTGGGGATTACGAAAAGCCCTAAGGATTAGGGTAGTTCATATTATTATGATATATGTTGAATGATAACCGCTTAGGGATGCGACAACCTGAGGAGGAATTGTGCCTTGGTTAATATTTAGTGATTTAAAATTGTGTTTGATTATCACAAAAATAACGCTTTAATCCAGAGCAGACTGGAATGAAATACCGGCGTTCCATAAATACCTTTCCCACGTGATAAAATCCGTCCCTATTCAAAAAATAAATTAAAAGCTTCAGCTCATAAATACAGGTATTTAATTTCCATCGAGTTATTAACAGTTTCATAATAAAGAGCACAATTTTATTAAAATATACTACGAACAAATTACAACGAACGCTCAAGAGTAAACAGTGATGAGCGTAAACTTAATAAAATTAAACTTGAACATAATTTCATGATATTAATAGGACTAGATAATATCAACTAATATAATGTACTGCGCAAACATTTCAGATATTCAATCTCATCATATTAACTTCATTATATTTGTCTAAGATAAATAAATTAGTTTCGTAATAGTGGAAGCAGCGAGCTGACTCGATTTGTTTCGTAAATTCTCGAGTAAATTAACTCGATTTCCTCGCCATCGTTCGTGTACACAATAAATATTGTTGTACAATATAGGACTAGGTACTGGAATAAATTTGGTTTGGAATTCAATTTCGAGGGTATTGTTACAAAAAATATTGTTCAGTAATATTATTTCCTGCTGAAAATTGAGCCAAAGGATGTTAACATAGTTGTTTTTTTTTTATGATAAGAATATAGTACACGTACACAACGGTGAAATACAATTTTGAATTGACTGCACGGTTGGTGCGGTGGCTGGGCAACCGGCTGCCGTGCAACGTGTCGCGGGTTCGATTCCCGCACAGAACAACGCTTTGTGTGATCCACAAATTGTTGTTTCGGGTCTGGGTGTCATGTGTATGTGAACTTGTATGTTTGTAAACGCACAACGCACCCAAGAGACAGGAGATAGTCCTAGTGTGGGGCAACGTTTTAAAAAAAAAAACACAAAATATTTTTTTCCAATTTAAGGGTTCTGCTACGAGGTATGTAATTGATCCTAGTGCCCGATAATGTACAGTCACGCTTGCAATTACTACGCTAACGAGGACATGACAACAAAGTTGGTAAATGCGAGCCGACAACCGGTCACAACTTGACACACAACCACTTCCTGCGGTCAACATATCATGTTTATCAGATATGTATTACGGAGGATATAGCTATGTACTAATATATGATTAGTCGGCAAGCAATATCCCTGGGGAACATAAAGTCTCGATCAGTAAAAATCCTATTCCGAATTCATAAAATTTCACAAAATGTGTAATATATATAAAATTATCATATAATCTCCAATATTTACGTGCTTAACATTATGTAAACGATTGTAATAAACAATGCGAAACGAATCACTGCGACATTGATATATCGAATTGGCGCCCAACAGGGACTCAAAATAGATCACATAAAATTACGTACAAAGCTGACATCGACAGACATGCCTCACCCCAAAAGCAGGATACATACCACCCACTACCTGTATTGCATATAGAAACGTATATTATGAGATATGCAAACACGTCGGTACGCCGGATCACAATGACGGACGGACAAACCGATCGATACGTCCG